GGGCGTTCCAGATTTGGGTCACTTTCAAGAAAACTCTAGATCTTTGATAGCCATCTTGAGTCAATTATAATATTCATCTGAAGTTTTATCTTCAAAATGAGCCTAAGATTTCCAAAATCGGTTGAAGTGAAAAAAAGTTATGGCTGCAAAACCAAAAAGTTGATTTTTTGAGATCACTCTGTAAATAAGAGAGATAGGAAGTTAATTCGCGAAATATCTCGAGGTAATGAGATCATCTTCATGCCTCTGTTGTCGAAGTTGAGAAAAAAAATGTTTTCACCATTTGAGAGCCTTTTGAATATTCCGAAATTTTGCACAGTGTCGGAAAACACCATGTAGAGATTTTATGTGAATACCCTTATGTTTCAATGAAGTACGAGATTATAGCTGAAGGACTGGGCTATCGAACAGTGTGAACCAAATTCAAATTGTTCCAAACTGAAAAAAGCTATTCACATTATAACAGGGAAGACATTTTGGTGTGCGACGAAATTAGTGTTGAGTAGTTTATATGGATGGTGTATGTTGAATTTGTTCTTTTTCAAAAAAATCATCTTATGTTCATGAATGCGCTGATTAAACGTACGACCTGTCTGACCGATGTATACCTTAGGACAAGATCCACAGTTGAGTTTGTATACCCCTGATTCTTCGAATTTAGAAGTTTTGTCCTCATTATTTTCGATAAACCTTCCCAACGTGTTATTTGTTCTATATGCTACTCTGAAGTCCTGTTAATGTAGAAATCAAGCGCTAATTTTTCAGTTGATGATCCGAAATAGGTTAAAGTTCTATAATTTTGAATCAAAATTCTATAATTCAGTTGGCAAACAAATGAGTTACAGATTTTCATCATTTTCGTGCTATAGAAACGAGGAGAAAATCCCAAAAAATCTGGAATAATATATATACATAATATTTACCAGCGATTAATACACGCCTATTCTGAGAACCAATAAAATTTCTTCAATATCCTAAAATCGACCAATCACCAGGAATTTGTATAAACAGCTACCTTGCTTTCCCGATAACTGATAAATATGCTTTCAACCAACAGAATTCTATATTTCGGCGTCAATTAGTGAAATCCGCCATTCCCTGAAATGCCTAGTCATTTCACGTATTGTCGGCACTTTTTTTATTTGCTTACAGAGGAATCAAAGGATTGAAATAGTTTTTCACAATATTTTGGCATACGAATCGTGTTTTTTGCGCTATTTATCAATTCAAGCATGCCTTCTCATTGTGCTGTTGTACAATGCACAAAAAATGCAGCGAGAGACGAAGGAATATGATTTTCCAGTTAAATAGTGATCTTACATAGTTTTCATTATGAAATTTTTCAATTTCTTATTATTCCTTCTGCCACTTCTGCAATCGAAGCTAATACTGCTAAAAGATTGAAAATGTCTACAACACACACGATCATATTTCGTCAGCATGTCAGACCAGTCCTCCCGTTTGATTGCATGAATCCAATCTTCTTGCGTTCTTTTAGAAACCTCACGAGTATTTCTAGTAGCTCCTATTGCAAAAGGAATTCCGATGAGAAATCAGATTTCAAAATGAATACTATATGTGAGTGACTATAGTAGGTACTTACTTATTAAGCATAATGTACTAACCGGATTCCTTCGTCTCTCGCTGCATTTTTTGTGCATTGTACAACAGCACAATGTGATGGTATGTGCGAATCAATGAGCAGCCGCAAAACACGCCAAAATAATTGTGAAAAACTGTTTCAATCAATTGTAAACAAATAAGAAAAGTGAGATAGTGTTTCAATGTTTCACCACCAGGGTCGGTCATCTGACAGTTCTTGCACGCAACCCATGACGGATTTCACTGTTTGACGCCGACATATATACTTTGACAACAACTGCCACCGTCATTACTGTCAGATAATTTTCGAGTTTTTTCAACACAATCTCGATGTGTTCAAACCAAATTGTCTTTATACCAGAGTTGTGTATTAATCTCCCTAAAATACATTCGAGAAATGTTTTTATTGATAAATACATTTCAAATTGTATTAAAACCTTATCTCCATTTGGCAAACAAATCTCGAATCAAGGAAAGTCGAAAAAATCGCTCCAGGAAGCTCTCCCGACTTTTTCACTACCTTGATTCTCGATTGTTAGCCATACAAGCATACAATTAAACATGTATTTATTGATAAAAACATTTTGTCTCATGTATTTACCCCTGATAAACCAATTCCTGATTCCGTTAGAAAACCATTGGATATTTATTATTCAGAGGAAAATTGTAATAGTGGAAAATGCGGCTGTTTCAAAGAGTGCTTGAATTTTTTGACGATGATGTAAATAAATTCTTCATACCTAAATATGTTTTTTGTGATGAAGAAGAATACTTTGGACTAGAGTACTTATATTGTATTTGTCAAGAGAAAAATAATTATTGCAAAAAATCAAACTGAAGATATAATGTACCTACCTACTTAGCTTGAAATAATACATGAAATGGTAATAATAAGAGGCACCATCCCATCACAAGTCCAAGTATTACACCAAACGGATCTGTAGTCGGCAGACTAGATACATAAATATTTATATGAAAACTTATGATTACTAAAACTTCCTCCAATACGGAACTGTTTTAAGCAAACTAGAATAATATATGGATTTTTTCTTATTAAAAAATAAAATACATTAATTTTAAATGAAAGAAAAATCTTTGAACATTCAATCAGATTGTTCATAACATAACATATTGAAAATGATGAATGTCCTGAAAGACTGGTCTAGCAACCAATCAAATTTCTTTCTTGTTGTGCTAAAAAACAATATTCTGCTAAAATTCGGGAATATATTATGTATGTTGTGGTGATGTTTATTAAATTTTTTTCTCAAAGTAATAAAGTGAAATAAAAATTGGTAGCAGGAGTCAAATATGAGCCTCATCCAAAACAAAAACATTTAAAAATGTAGGAAGTGCTTTTTGTGCCAGAAACTTAACAGAATTGCCATTGTGATAACTGGATCAATATCAATAATTATTGTGAAAATGTCACTGAACAATTTTGAATAGTTTTTTTAGATGCTTATAAAAGAACAATTTCTTCTAATCATTCATTGAATTCATGAATATATGTTCATCCAAAATATATAGATAATCTTTTCTTGAAATTATTTCTTTTGTCTATTGACGCCTTCCTATTAAAATCAGAGACATCCTGTATCATAACTCAATATTGAAATGACCAGATATTCTGATGAAGTAATTGAAACAATAAAATCAAACAAACCCACCTTGCCAACAATTAATGAACTCAAAATTAGCTGATAATCAAATCAACATTATAAATGTTTACAGTAGGATTTCAGCAATTCATTGCCAACCTTGAAAATAGCTAAAAACTTCTCCCACTGGAAACAGGTTATTTTCATGAAGCCCCCCTCCCCGACTCTCAAATCGCGGGAAATTATCAAAACTCTGATGTAAACTGATTTTGAGGTTATTTCAGCCTGTAAAAAATGACACTCATTTTTGTTTTATGTCATTATGTCTTGATGTTTTGTGACCCCTGTCACTGTTTTTAGGTTAATTCAAAACCAAAAAACAAACGATTAAGAAACAGAGTATTCAATAATTTTCATTTAGTGTAGTTTATCTATGATTCACACATTAAAGATTGAAGACATTAAAGAAGTACCTGTGTGCCGGTGTAAATATTATGTTGAGCCCTTATTAGAGAAGAAAGGAAGGATCATAATAAAATATGGAACATCCTCTAGTTCAAGAGTTGTCATGATGAGAGCAAAAATAAACTAATTTTTCCCAATTATTCACCTTCAAGTAGATACTTTTTGGAAAAAGACATAATGAGATTATTATGCAAATTTGGTTTTTTTATGATGATCCTTCCTTTCTTCCCTAATATGGGCTCAATATAATATTTACAGGGGTACACAGGTACTTCTAGAATGTCTGAATCATAGATAAACTTCATCAAATGAAAATTATGAAAATACTTGAATTCTTGAATGCTTTTTTTAAATAGTTTTGATTTGAATTAACCCAAAAACAGTCACAGGGGCCACAGAATGAAACAAACATGTGTCATTCATCTTACAGGCTGCCAAAATGATAACTGAAATAACCTCAAAATCACTTAATATTAAAGTTTTTATAATTTCCAGAGATTTGGATGCTGGAGACTTCCTGGATGATACAAAAATCGATAAGGACAAAAATGGTATCAATATTAAATGAAAATAATCAGTTTTCAGTGGTAGACATTTTTAGTTATTTTCAAGGTTGGCAATGAATTGCTGAACTCCTCCATTCAATGCAGCAAAACTCATGTGTGTTTTCAAATATTTACAATTAATTCAGATAACAATTGTTCATGAAAACTAATGGCAACTCAATACCTAATTTTCATTACATTGTAAATTGAAAATGAACAAATAAAGCTTTGAATTTTTGTACAAGACAAAGACTATAAAAAATCATCAGGGTATCTGAGAATAAATTATTTCAGCATCCAATAAAAGATTTCTCAACTTTTGTCATGATAAGAATTCATTTTCAATTTCTTTGTTTGAGTACATGCATTCCTACTTACCTTTGACTTGAAGAGAATTATTAAGTGTCCAAGAAATATTATGTATTGCTGCAGTTTAACTACAAGTAAATCCAATGATAATAGGATCATCTGCATCAAACACAAAAAGTGACAGGAAAAATAAACATAATTATGAAATAGTACATTAATAGGATGAAGGGTGAGGAGATAAGGTATGTATGGGGTAAATATAGTATTTGCAAGTATGATAGCATAGCAAAATATCCCTGATATTCAATATAAAAGTAAAAACATCTTAGAAACACCCATAAATAACCAGTTTTGAGCACACAACTCAGATTTACCAGGCTACAAGAATGCCTCACCTCATTTTTGCTTGTAGAAAAACCAGTGTATAACCAGTTTTGAACAAATAACTCAGATTTACCAGGCTAAATGAATGCTTTACCTTCTTTTTCGCAAGTTCTTCTCTCTTCAAGTCCATCAAAGACTCAGGAATCCCTGTAGGACTTTCCTGTGCAGACAGGAGGAGGGTCCATAGCTCAGCCATAAATTCCATGGAATTTTTGCTTTGCAGGAAACCAGTGATATTGATTTGCATTTTCTTGGGATCAGGATACTGAAAGCATTAATATAATAACATAATGAATACAGGAAGGCCACAGTATGTTTACCTTCTCTTCCAGTTGATTGTAAACAAAATTCACAACAACATCATCATCTATCTTGAGAATGTCCGTTAGTTTGTCTTGAATCCATGGTTTGATTACCTCCAGTTTAACCTTTGTCATATCTACCTATGGAGAGAAAATTTTAATATTTTATGTACCAGAATCAGTATGAGTACTCACTTGTTGGCCCAAGCATGGGTTAAACCTCATGGACTTCATAAGTTTTTTCTCCTTGTCGCTGAATCTGTTGTCCTGATTGGTGTTGGTACCCTTTGTGAAAAAATCCATTCATTTAAGGTAAAACGTGGGGCACTTTTTATGAAAAAACGTGCGAGGGAGAATTTCCAGGTTGAAACAAAAACTAAATAGACTTACCGTATACATGATCGCACAATTTTCGGACAAGTTAGAAGCCTATGAAAAATATTATGCCGGTTTGCAAACGCTATCGGCTATTCACCGCTCATTTCACGTTTTTGAGGAAAACCTACACTTGAATACTTTCGAAGAAAACCAAAACTATACATGTATATCAAAGCTACATCCCATTTGAATAAGGAATGTTTTTCAAAAGCTATGTATTTTCAATACTAGAATTACTAGTAGAAATTAAATAATTCTATGAGATGAAAATGCCACTTGATGACGATGACAACAAATCAAAATGGCGTTCGCGTTTCGCGATCGCAAATCGCAGTGTTGCCAGAGGATTATATTTATATTATAGGCTGAATGACACGCAGGGTACAAAATCCGCGCAAATGAGGGCGCCACCGAAGAAATGAGGTCAGGGTTGGTAGAACTTATAAATATACATCTCATTTTTGTGTCATTTGGCCATTTGCTATGCTATCTTCTTCTCCGTCAATGTAAGAAATGGTCGTAAGGTTCCAAATCGAGAGTAAAAAAACGTTAGTCTGCTCAAGTCTCTCCATAACTTGTTCAAATATTCAACATATTTCCATATTTCGAATATTTTCGATGAAACAGGCCATAGCTTTTAAGGCAATCCGGCAAAATTTGGGATTTTTGACTTTGACGTTGACCCCATGTTTTAGTAGCCAGTAGATCAATAGTTTGTTTCTTAGGTTTGTTTAATCTATGGTAGCGACAACTGGTGTCAGAGTGTCGGCAGCACACTTGATATTTAGCCGTCATTGGACATGACACATGACACTCTACAGGAGTGCGTTCGGGAATGATACTCTGGTGCTCCTTGTGTTGAGCGTTTAGGAATCGGAGAGCAATGACGGCTAAATATCTAGACTGTCTGACTATTGCGGAACAGGACGTTGTCCCAGTGAGCGGTGAGCGCCCATATCAGATATCAAATCTCTCGGGACTGGGGTAAAAATCGCAAAGACCAAACTGTCTTCAAAGCTCAACATTTGACTTGTTATGTTGTTTTCTATGATTTCAAAAAAGGTTTCTTAGCTGGTTTGTAACAGTTTTTGGTAAAAATTTAAACGACTTGCTTTTTATTCAGAATGATGAGGTTTCAAGAGCAAATAACATGAATCACACTATTATTATAGAACTGTAATGAATGTTATTTGTTCCAGTTTTTTTTTTCAGCTATATAATACATCATTGCTTTGGATACTTAGTATAGTAGTTGAGTTCACTTTTTCCCTTAATCATTTTTATTTGGTGGGTTACATTAGGAGTTCAATGGAATTCACTCACACACCAAAGCGTTCAGAAATGACGGACACTCTAGGCAGGGTGCTTTCGAATACGTACACGGAAAAAAATTGTTGCGTGCCAAAATCACGAAATCTACCAAAGTTGCTATTTTTCTAAAGGAATGCCCTGTATATTATTGCATTTCCAGATTCACCCTGAAGAGCTGATTTCATCTATGTATCACACTAGCGGAAATTATTACAGATATAGGGCCCGGTGTTCAAAATCAAGCAAGATTTTTCAAATTTAGGAGTTTTTTGTGTCGAAACTAATCATTATTGATCAAAACGGCTCACATATATCCCTATCTCAACTTCTGATTCACTATATACTGACATTTAATCGGAATAGATACAGGGTGATCAGATTTCTGTATTTAGTCCAATTAAATATCAGTGGATAATTATTCAGAAGTAAAGATAGGGACATGGAAGCCGTTTCACCGATAATGAATAGTTTCGACACAAAAAGAATCCTAAATTCTCTTTACGGAGAATCTGAAAATGCAACAATATACGGGGCATTCAATTTGCAGAACAGCAACTTTGATATATTTTATGTTTTTGACACACCCTGTACAACATGAGAATATTTTCAAAATGTCTAGTCCCTATATATTCATTCGAAAAAAAATTCGAAAATCGAATGCTTTAACCAGAATAGTTCGTGTCGAACAACGTAAATAACTCTGTAGGTGATCGAAAGAATATACTGTGACACTCAGAAATCCGTTTTGCTGTCACGCCGGGTATATGACATTCAGATATTGAGTATATGAATTTCATATATTCGGTATAGGATTTTTTTCCGTGTACTCTGTGGAGTATGGAGTTTACTCATTCGCGTTTTTGATGCCGAGTTAATTCTTGTAACTCTAGAAAATAGGTGAGCGAATTTTACTTCACAGATTCGACAAAGTTATTACAGGGCGAACAAGGATGAGTAAGTTTCTTTTGTTTGTTTCAAATTAGGTTAGGTCCATTATTGAAACGCAGTTTTATGATTGTTTTTATGTCTACAAAGCATTCAAACTCCGTATAAGTACTTGACATTATATTTCGATGTCGAAAAGCATCATGAAATCTTCAGAAAGTGAGACTGTTGTGGGTAAATACTGTTCTGTTCTAATAACATCAATTTTAATTACCAAATTAAATATGTGTATATTAATAAGGTTTATCAAATTGTATATGCTTAATTAGTATAGGAGGAAATCAGCATAATATAAGATCTACCTAGAGTCACTGGATGCTATTAGTTTGATAAGAGTTCGGACACAGAAATGACAACTGTTAGGGTTTTTGAATGTTTAGATTCATTAAGTTACACACCTTGCATTGTGACAATAGCACCATAGTCGTCCCGCGCTTTTTATTCAAATTTGTTTGACAGTAAATTTTATGAACGTCAGATTTGAAATGAAATGTAGGTAATAATTATTCTTTCGAGAAAAAAGCAGCTATGGAAATCACTTGCTGTGTAATAACGTGTGCCAAATCTGATAAAAATGGATATCATTTATTCAATTTTCCAAAACAAATATCAACCATTCGCTTATGGAAGGAAGATATGAAACGGCCTGGGTGGAAAATCAATTTCAAGACGAGCGAAATTTGTGAGGTACTCATTAAAATTAGCTTCTTATAACAGCATCTGATCACAGAATGAAACTATATTTCAGGTCCAGTTTGGAACAGAAGATTTCAAAATCTGTTTGAGAGAATCTGATATTCCATCAATTTACAAAGCAGACGATTTCAAAATTCCATTATTATCATCACACGAAATACAGAACGAAATAATCATGGAAAGAGGACATGACCGTAAAATTACATAATGAAATTGGAAATTTGAAAACAAAACTAAGAAAAGCAAGGAAACTACAACGTGATATATTATTGAATGGCGTTTTTGGTGCCGATCAAATTCAAAATTCAACAGTGAAAAGTGAATTATTCTCTTAGATGCTTAGCTCCTAAGGCGCTAACTGAAGTTGCTGAGAACTTTTCAGAAAAATGTTTTTGATATATCGATCCATGTTACTTAGATGCTTAGCTCCTAAGGCGCTAAGTGAAGTTGCTGAGAACTTTACAGAAAAATGTATTTGGTAGGTCTCGTCAAAATTAACTACTTTTTTCCAAGGAAATGTTTATCGAAAAATGATTTGTTCTCTGTGTTTCATCACCCTGTATCTCCGAAATGAAACATTTCCGGACACAAGCTTATATATATACACTTTATTTCTTAAAATTGTCTCAGGAATACTTCACTTGAACGTATTTATGTTACTTCCTGTATATTGAGAATACCTACCTTTAATTAAATATTAATAACTTCATGTTTTATACTTATCACTGGAGTACAGTTTGACATACAATAAGGATTTATAGCTATGAGTTTATCCATATGTGTATATTTTCTAATATTAAAACGTTGGTACATGCATTCTTCTCATTTATATAACAGTTGTTCTGCTAGAAGTGTATCACTATAAATTTAAGTAGGTGTTTGTACCCTATATCCATTGTCCATCTACGGCTATGATTGATTTGACAGAAAATATAACCTCTAAAATCGTATTTGACAATCAGGCGCTTCTAGGGAAATTGAAAAGACAAAGAGCAGAATATATGTCTTATTCTTTTATTCACTTAAACCATTGTATTATAGAAAATAGAAAAGGACAAAAGTTCAGCTGTGTCCGAACTCTTATCAAACTAATACCATCCAGTGACTCTAGATCTACCTACTCCATTATCGATTATTGACCCTGAATAATGACTGAACTAAACTTGTCAACTTGACAAACATGTTCAAAATTCCGTTCAAATTCCGTTCGAATATCACAAGGAATAGTAATTAACTCAGAGTAAACTAATAAAACCTTCAGCTGACTTTACTCTACTCTGAGAGTTAATAATTGTCCTCTACTGACTCTCAGTCCTAGATTCCTAAACCAACCCCTGGAGCACTGAGGATGATATGACTGAGGTGAGGCTGAGTAGTGCTGAGTGTGCTGAGACTGCTGAGCACGCAGAGATTTCATCAATATGAAGAGTGCGCATTATGCAGAGTACGGTCCTGTAAATTTCACTGTGAAAGAGTTCACTGGACGACAATCGACTGTACAAATGCTGCAAGAATGGTTGTCTATCGCGTAGGCAGGTACCATAACTTTAAAACCCGATATAGAAGTAAATATCGATCCTCATCCATCCAATCCAGTGTAGAGGTGAATGTTGTGTGGTAGGCTGGTAGGTTGATTGTCGTCTGTTTGATTATCCTAACCTATAAGCTATTATTTTGATATGTTGACTAAAAAGTTTGTGTGTTTATTGTTTTTTGCCTTTGTAACCGTTCTCGTTAATTTGCCATAACTATTGATGTGTGTTTTCGTGTACTTTCCGTAATTTTGAGGACTTGATACGAACATGATTGTGACCAGGAATCCGCAGGAATGTTTTTCTGTAGACGTAAGTATAATGATAAATAATTCTAAATCTTATCAATATCTCAATATCAGGTCATTCATTTATGTGAAATAAATCCAATATGAATCATTGGGTAAATTTCTCCGTATTCAGGTACTTTTGCCAGTACAGGTATGCCCAGACAGCACATAATATTGATTCTATGAATATTCTGACAATGTTCGAATATAGCTATACTTATTTTAAAATATTCTGATAAAATGTTCTTAGAATGGTCATAGAATATTATCATCCTGCCAAAAATATTCCATGAACTTTCAATTCCACATATTCTAAAAATATTCTTTTTCGAATGTTCTGAGAATATTCACCTCGATATTCACTCATCGAAATACAGGGTGTTTCGAAAAATGTAGGACGCACGACGCACTTCGAGCGGTGTTGAATAGGCTCGTGAGTAGGGCGTCTCAAGAAAATGAAGGCCTCGTTTGCGAGATACAGGGTGTTAAAGTTGAAAATAAAAAACAATTTTCATTGAATTTCTAGATAACCGCTAAACGAAAATTCTTGCTATTTTGTTACATTTAATCAATCTGAAGGGGCACTGATG